TATGTATCATTCGTATAAAAGATTTGATATCAATAAAATTAGTGCCAAGTGAAATTCCATGTAATTCAGATACCAAATTATATAAATAATATTAACTTTAATGATATGTATCATTCCTTTAAAAGATTTGATATCAAGAACTAGCGCAAAGTACCATTTCTTTATACCACGCCAAATTAAATAAATAATGAATATTAATCTATTGATATGTATCATTTATATAAAAGAATTGATATCAACAACTGTGGCGCCAAGTTAAATTCTACTACCAAAATAAAAAGTAAAACCCAAGTGATACTACCTTTATTATTATTTACTTAATCCAAATGGAACTATCTTTAATTTTTATGCAATGAAACCTAAGTATACATATATCTTATTGAAGGATCTTTCCAATCCAAATGGTTTAAATTCCTCTTAAATGAAATTATTATATCACAATTCATTCAAAGATGTTTTCTCTTCCAACTAAAGTAGAGGTTATTTAATTCTCCTTCAAAATATTATATAATACAAAATTGCAACATTATCGCAAAACTGCATTATCTTGCTCAATTTAAGTATTATCACAAAAAATTAAAGGGTTAATCGTATAAAATGAAAAAAATTTAATTTAAATAGAAAAATTTTTCATGTAAAAACACTTGGCGTACTAACACTTATTTTTATATAATATTTTGAAGGAGAATTAAATAACCTCTACTTTAGTTGGAAGAGAAAATATCTTTGAATGAATTGTGATATAATAATTTCATTTAAGAGGAATTTAAACCATTTGGATTGGAAAGATCCTTCAATAAGATATATGTATACTTAGGTTTCATTGCATAAAAATTAAAGATAGTTCCATTTGGATTAAGTAAATAATAATAAAGATAGTATCACTTGGGTTTTACTTTTTATTTTGGTAGTAGAATTTAACTTGGCGCCACAGTTGTTGATATCAATTCTTTTATATAAATGATACATATCAATAGATTAATATTCATTATTTATTTAATTTGGCGTGGTATAAAGAAATGGTACTTTGCGCTAGTTCTTGATATCAAATCTTTTAAAGGAATGGTACATATCATTAAAGTTAATACTATTTATATAATTTGATATCCGAATTACATAGATTTTAACTTGATGCCAATTGTTGATATCAAATCTTTTACACGAATGATACATATCATTAGAGTTAAGTAAATAACAAGAGACAATATTTTACCATTTACTTTTTAATTTGATAGTGATGATGAATGATTGAATTTAATTTGATTAATTAAGATTGTAGCATCTGAGTTTTTCATTTGATACATTAATTTTTTTTTGAAAAGTAATATTTTTGACAGAGAATTAAAGTTGCCATTACTTAGAGGTTGGAAGAAGATCTTCAATAAGAATATCTTTAGAAAAGAAAAACTACTATTAATTGGATTGGATACTTAATATCAATATATACAAAGAGCCGGTTTCGCCAACTCGATTAAGCCGAATCGGTGATTAACTGTCAATCATAAGAAGTCAATTCTACTAAACAGCAAATACACAATTAGTCAATTCCACAGCCAATTAAAAATTGGCATTGGTGAAATCGGTCCATGAAATGAAAAGCACACATGCTTAGTGCTTTTTTTTATCTTTTTTTAAAAAGGTAAGTTTGTATAAATACAAAAAACAGTATCATTTGTTTTTTACTTTTTAATTTGATAATATAGTATACATAATAATTAAACCCGCGCGCTGGCACCGTGCTACAAGAGTAAAGTATCTCTTAACAGTCAGTTCCAGCTGATTTTTTGGCATTTTCGCAATAGTTCCGACGATTTTTATAAATTTCGCTCAGAGTTCTGGTCTTTAAGTACCTTTTAATAATAATTAAATGCGCGCACTGGCACCGCATCATAAGAGTAAAGTTTTAAGAAGATTGTAAGGGCATAAAACATATATGTTATTATAATATTTACGCTTTTAACAAATTACATATATATGAGTTGTGTTGATAACATTGTTTTTATTGAGCAACACATTTTTATAGATTATTTATATTATTTATTATTAATTTTATTATTATAACAGAAATTTTTAAAATAACAAAAATTTTATTTTTTTATATAAATATTTTAAGTACTAAAAATAACTTATGCAAAGTTTCATTAAGATTTACCAATTAGTTTATAACAAATAAATATTTTGTTTATTTACTGAATGTCTGCATTTCAATATAACTTTGCATAAATTTTTTTGTATTCATAAAATACTTATATATAATAAAAAAAATTGAGATTTTTATCATTATTTTATAATACATTTTCATAGTATTATGCCAAGTTGGCTGGTACTGGCTGATATAAGATATTTTACTCTTGTGGTGCGGTGCCCGCGCGCGGATTTAATTATTATTAAATTCTTAAAGAATAGAACTCTAAACAAAATCTATATAAATCGTCGGAACTATTATAGAACTATAGGAAAATGCTAAAAAGTTGGCTGGTATTAACTGTTAAGAGGTACTTTATACCTGTGATGCGGTGCCAGCGTGCGGGTTTAATTATTATTAAAAAGTACTTAGAGACCAGAATTATTGTTAAAACCTATCAGGAACTATAGAACTCATCGAGAACTATAAAATTTCATTGTTTTCAATTTTTTGAATCTTGCAGTACTACGGGAAGTTACCATTCAAATTTTCAAGTGTTATTTTTATTTAGTTAAATCAAGAACTATAAAACCTATCAGGAACTAGAGAACTGTTGCGGTTGCCAATGGAATTCTTATCAAGATTTGCGATGTCAACACACGTGAATATTTATCTGTTTTATACAGGCTCCAACATGCGATAAAAGAATTTTAAAAAATTTTTTTTTAATAAAAAATCAAAGTTACCTTAAATTTTTTAAATAGCACTATACAATTATTTTCCATAATATTGTAGATGTTTTCAAGACAAATTCAAATCACTACTGAAATGTCATTTTTATTGATGTTTTATTGATTCTATTGATACTTAATACCAAATTTGTAATTTGACTGTTTTCTAGCTAGGACACAGAGACACTACACTGGGTTCCACTGTGTAAAGTACCTATTTGTTGGAACGCAGTTTAGTTTTATAGTGTAACACCAGAATGCATTGCAGTCTTCCATTCTATTCTTATAATTATATTTAGCGTATCAATAATAGATTTATGATTTTTATTTAGATTTAAGTTATAATTTTTTCAGATTTGGCAATTTTTGAAGGTTTTATTACAAAATAAGTACGACTACCAAATAACTTTTTGAAAAGTTGGTAATATTGACATATTTTACACGCTCGTACTTAGCTTTTTACTTAGCTGTTGAGCAGTAACACTGTGTCATAGTTGGAACACTTTGTGTCAGACACAGTGTTATACTGTGTCACTTGTGTACGTTGTTGGAAAATATCATTATTTTTAATAGCAATATCTCTATCTTCTGACATAGAGGATATATACGTACATACATATATACATACATACATACATACATACATTCATACATACTACATACACACATACATAGTACTTATTTAATAAAATATGTAATAAAATCAATAAAACATCAATAAAATGACGATTTCGATAATGATTTGAATTTGTCTTGAAGAGTCTTACAACATTATCTTAAAAAAATTGTATGGTGCTATAAAGAATTTAAAGGGATCCTAAAGTGAAGCCCGAACTCCAATGAAATCACTATTTTACCGATAAAATGTGACACATCGACATATCTTTATATATTACTACATCAATATCGCACTCACATATATGTACAAATTTTCTAACTAATCTTTCGTATTAAATATCTAAACTTATTTCTAAGTACTCAACATTGGTTGTTCATGTAATCTCTAATCCAAATCAAGATTGTTTTGTACGTACGAAGTATAAAGCTCGTATATAAAGTAAACATTATTACAAGTTGACATTAAAACTCAGTAACAAAACTGTAATTTTTCACTTTTTTGTTTTTGACATAAAGTTGACCAGTTTGATCTACATTATTGTTTATACTTTAATTATGGAGAAGAATTTTTTAACTTGTAAAAGCAGTTAGAAAAATACTTGTTATTTGAACAAATTGATTAAACAGATTTACTGTATATAGGATCCCCTTAAGATAACTTTGATTTCCTTATGAAAAAAAATTTTTTTTAATCTTTTTATCGTATGTAGCCTATATAAAACAGATGAATACTCACTCTTTAATCTTTTTTTTAATTGTGTCGAAGTATCTGAAAAATGAACTGTTACGCTGAATACCCTGTATATTTTATATGTTATGCTTTACACACTTACATCTATTCCAATTTCTAAATTGCTCTTTCCTGACAACAAAATACTTATGTTCACAAGAGACAGCATACTCAAGAAAAGAAATATTCAAACAAAAGAGTAAAAATAGAACTTGGTGATTGATTGAAGAATGTGCGAGCATAACACAATCATTAAGTACTCATAAATACTTTCGTTCAAATCGTGCATTTATTTACCAATTATTCGATAAACTTCTAGTATATAATATATTTTATATACGTAATGGTTTAAAAAGACGGCGGCGTATGTTGTATGTATCAATCATCACACAGTCGAAATGTGCATACGTTTTTTGAAACATCTTTAAGAATTAAACACATTTCACATCATATTTACCTTGTTCTCAACGATGTCTCGTACTTGTTCAAGATCGCCGTTTTTTATGCCCCAAACAAGCTCGCTCATTTTCGTTGATGCTGTCGCTGTGCCTGTGGATTTACACGACGAACGACGGTTGTATCCACACTGCCACACACTACGTAAGTCTACTTTTTTGTTTTTTTTTTCTACCACTCTTATCCGTTCCGTACCTAAATCATTCGTTCATGAAATTCAACGAAACTTCGGAATTCGGTTGCTATTGACAGTAAGTTTGAGTAAATTCTGACTGATAAATCTCGCCATATATACAATGTCAGCGTGCATTAATGCCATTGACAATTTGAGCTAGTGTCGCTAGTGATGCCAGAAAAAAACATGGAAGATCAAGAGATGCCATCTCGGCATTTTTCGCGTGACGCTCGGAAAGCTAAGGGTGCGATTACATGGAGCGCGATACGCGGTACAGTAACTAATGGTAACTAACTAGGCAACTAGGAAACCGCGTACCACGTACCGCCTATTTCTTTCGCTGATATTACATGGAGCGTGGTTTGCGCGCCGTTTGCGGCACGCGCTAGTGACAAACTCACATTAGTATGAATTTTTTTTAATATATTAACTTATTTTTATGCACTTTATCAATATTCTTATTTTTTTAACAGATTGTGTGATTCACCCTAAGGATAAAATCACACGGTGCGGAAAAGAGAATGCGTCATTGAAGCAATCAATCAGCGCTATTCTACACTTTTCCATCACGCAAGTTTTGTACTATGTTCACATGATGCATCAAAGATGTATCCAGCATAAATGTTGTTTGAGATTGAGATCGGCGCTATCGACGTTCGTTATTACCCGCCACTCAGCATCCACTCGATCGAAGGGACGGTGGCGCCATGGACCCTAGCATACTTAATTTCGGCCGGATGGCCCCCTTGTCAGCCAACCATATTGCGGATGCATGCGCAGTTCGTCACGACCAATTATTCCTTTTTGTCGAGCTCTCGCAAAAGGAAACGTGTAATCACGAAGCACGAAGTCATATTATTTACTGTATGAGCCCTGTTTATAACAATAAAGAAGAGTGCGACCATAGCAAGCAAGTTATTCTTTAATCAAAAAGCGAGTCAAATCACTATCAAACAAATATAATTTAAAAATTACTAACTTCATGTTAATAATTTGCTTATTAAAATGAAATAATTTTTCAAATTGTAAAAACAATTATCACTGTTGTATTATTTAATGTTTTACAATTAATTTACAATTTTTGAATAATGTATTATACTGCGCCGGGAAATAAATTTTTTGTACATTTGAAGAGCCTAACTATAATGTTGAAACATGTATGTATTGGGTCATCTAAAAACCGCGGATACTTTTAGATGACCCAATATTTGTATTCTAGTGTTTTAACTTTTGTATTATCTACAGTTTGATTTATTATTTTTATCTTTAACTATACTTATGTTAAACCAATAATGGAGTTTTATTAAGTTTTTTTTTACTCTTATTAGCCTTTTATATCTCGTTGTTGGATTTTAAATGTTAAAAGTCCTGTTACTTCAAGTTTTTTATTCTAATATTGGGTAATCTAAAAAGTATCTGCGGTTTTTTGTCACTAGATGGTGTTGATGGTCAACATATCTAGTGACAAAAAACCGCGGATACTTTTTAGATGACCCAATATTTACAATCTCATAACAATTTTTTGAACTGCTTAATACATTTACTATCATTTTTCCGCATTGTGTGAACATAGCACACAAAACTGGCGTGATGGAAAAGTGCGAAAAAGGACACACTGAAATTGCACGTAATGCATCAGTTTTTTTGATCTTGGTATCTATATTTATGCACTCAAATTTTGTCATTTTGCTTCATTTGTCTCGACATTACGCAATTCCATCATATCAATCAACATCAAATTATTTTAACCTCTCAAAATACGACGGTTTATTACAAGAACAATGACGCGCTCGCTTTTCCGCAAATGTGGAATAGCGCTGGTTATTTCAACGACGCATTCTCTATTCCGAGTGTGTGATTTCACCCTAATGCCTCCGGTATACCAGCGCGATGTTCATCGCGCGTGACACCATAAGACCATAAGACTGCATTTTCATGCTGACGCTCGATGCTCGATTTGAGCGTCAAAACAGGTGACGTGACCAAAATTGATGAATATCAAGCTCCAATTTGGATCACGTAACCTGTTTTAACGCTGAAAATGAATAGCGTCAAATAAAAACCCAGTCTAAGGCCGGATTCACATCTTGATGGAAAAACAGAAAGCGGAAAAGCGAAGGTCAATCAGAATTCGCAGAAAGAAAGAAGCAGACAAGCGAAATGTACCGCCTACTATACTGTGAATTCCGATTGGCCTTCGTTCTTTCGCTTTCCGTTTTTCCGTCAAAGTGAACCCGACCTAAAGAACCCTTTCTCATGCCAATTCGACGCTCATTTTCGACGTCAAAATAAGTCACGTGATAAAAATCGACAAATATCAAGCGTCAATTGAAAATGAGCGTTAGAATTCTATATATAGAGAGACGACAACGAATCTTCATCATCAAATCGAATCCCTACCATCTGCGCCGCCATATTTACACCGCTCCAATGTCGTAAAAAATAAACATACCAATCTTGCTCCAAGCTCCAACACTTTGTGTAAAAAATAAACATACTCCAATCTTGCTCCAACTTCGTTGTGACGCTATTAATTTTCCTGATTTAATAAAGGCAGGATCTAAAATTGAAAAAGAAGAATATATATACTCCATTGATTCCGTTAGCGGAGTGAGCTCTGTATTCCGTTAGTGATTGAGATTACATGTGTCAGCTGTAGTTAGAGATTCTGCAGTAAAAAGAATAAAGAACAGAGAATAAGAATTTCAACCTATTAAATATCATGTATTGTGGAATACATATAGCGTTTTCGGCTCGACCGAATTTGCACTAATCTTGGTTGAAGTAATGATGTTTCGTGCTATCCTATTAGTAGAGTGTGTAACGTCAACCAATAGCGAAGCATTTTCTAACCCAAGTTGATGCAAACCTAGTCGGACTAAAAGCGTTAATTTCTGATAGGTTGAAATTCTTATTCTCTGTTTTCTGTTCCTCGTTCTTTTTATTGTGCGGAGCCCCTTACACAGTCTGGGTAATCAGCTACGGTCACAACATGATTACTTAGGAGGGGATACCCAATCAGAATACATATTAGACTGCCAATCAGAAACTCAGACAATAGTGGCCTAGTTTCCATTGAGGGTTTAAACCTCGAACTATCATTCGACTGTAACATGGGAATACTCGACTGTAGTTGATTGGTTCTTACATTCTGAGTTTAAATCCTCGGTGGAAACTAGACCAATATCGGATTTCTATATTAGGTTTTTTGTCACTAGATGTGTGTTGATGGTCATATATCTAGTGACAAAGTACCGCGGATATTTTTTTGTATGACCCAATATATGTAATACTCGTATATTACTAAAGGCTGCCGCAGATAAAATTTCTGTAATAATAATTTTAAGACATGAACTTAAGACAATGAGTTAATCAGAATATTTTAGATCAACATATTCTAACGAAAATAAAAATAGCAATAAACTTATCCATAAGATGAGTTTCAACCGGTTGAAATTTTCCTTATTATAAGTTATTATGGATAAGTTTACTATTATTTCCATTTCCGTTAGATTACGTAATCTAAAGTAGTATCTTGATTGATTCATCGGCTTAAGTTTACACCTTACGCATACTGTTACGGAATTTTGTGTGCGGCAGCCCTAACGCCATTTAAGAACTAATGAAAATTCCACGGTGCAGACAATGGTTGCGTTTCAAAATTTACTGCCAGTACTAAAAATCTATAGTTTATGTTACATGCTATAGATTTTTAGTATTGGCAGCAAATTTTGAAATACGGCCGATAATATTGTTTGTTTTGTCTCGGAAGCTGCTCGGGTCGCTCCGAATGAACCTATACACCCAAAGACTTCAATTTTTTCCTTCGAAAATTTTCACAAACTAAAAAATTACCACTTTTCTACATTAATGCTCATAGTCCGTGCGCGATTAACGACAACTAATGGCGTTTTCAGCCCAACCAAGTTTACATCAACCTGGGTTGAAGTAATGATGTTTCGTGCTCTTCTATTGGTAGAGCGTGTAACGTCAACCAATACCAATAGCAAAGCATTTTCTAATCCAAGTTGGTGCAAACCCGATCGGGCCGAAAACGCTATAAAACTTACGCCCATTTACAATTTGACTTATAGCCTTTTTGGCCCGATCGGGTTTGTACCAACTTGAATTAAAAAACGCTTCGCTATTGGTTAACGTTACACATTCTACCAATAGGAGAGCACGAAACATTATTACTTCAACCCAGGTTAGTGCAAACTCGGTCGGATCGAAAATGCTAAAAATGAAATAACCTGAATTTTTGGAAGTTTTAAAAAAATAACCAAGAGAAAGAATCGAAGTTCTTGGATGTACTTGAAATGTAGGATTCACACTACGTACGATATTTGTCATACAATGTTTGACATTCATCGTAACAATAAGCCTGGATCTATTGTACAATATAATACTGTAGATTTTTAAGTCTTAAGCCGTAAAAAATGGACGAATCATAATTTATTATTCTTCTCGCATTTGGCTGTAATTGATCAGTTTCTTATGGCTGAAAACTTAAAACACCTATTGTAGATTAGACTAAATGTCAGATGTCGTACGTAGTGTAAATCCTACATTTCAAGTACGTTGGGTTTATGGAGGATAGACAGTAAGGAGACCGAACTTATTTGGATGAGGCTAAAAAGCGTGTTTAAAAGTGGAATCATTCATCTGAATTATTAGGTGTACAACTTTGCTTCCTATAGATGGCTTTAGCGGTAAGTGGTGGTCAAAATAAATAGATCATAGACCTCATACAATAAACTTGGGCATCTGTCAACATAACCTCATAGAAACATTAGTCGATTTGTGTCTGCATCATAAAGTTATTCTCGATTGAAAATATCAGTTTACGAGTCAAATTCTCGTCATTTGCGGGAGGTTTTAATTTTCTGCTTCAATATGAAGAAATCTGCGGCTGAGGCTCATCGAATGCTCTCAAATACTTATGGTGAGACCGCTATTAGTGAAAGAACGTGTCGTGAGTGGTTTCAACGCTTCAAGAACGGTGATTTTGACGTCGAAGACCGGCATAGCGGTGGAAGAGAGAAGGTTTTCGAAGATGCAGAATTGGAGACATTACTTGATCAAGACTCGTGTCAAAATCAAAAAGAATTGGGAGTGACTCAACAAGCCATTTCAAAACGCCTCAAAGTCATGGGAATGATTCAGAAGCAAGGAAATTGGGTGCCGTACGAGTTGAAGCCGAGAGATGTTGAACGGCGTTTGTTTGCTTGTGAACAGCTGCTTGAAAGGCAAGCAAGCTACTGCAAAGACGGAAGGGATTTCTGCATCGCATTGTGACTGGGGACGAAAAACGGGTTCATTACGATAACTCCAAGCGCAGAAAATCATGGGGAATTCCCGGCCATGTTTTCACATCGATGGCCAAACCGAATATTCACGGTTCCAAGGTCATGCTCTGTATTTGGTGGGACCAGCTCGGCGTAGTGTATTATAAGCTGTTAAAACCGACTGAAACAATTACAGGCGATCAGTATCGAACACAATTGATGCGTTTGAGCCGAGCATTGAAAGACAAACGGCCGCAATACAACGAGAGACACGACAAAGTGATTTTGCAGCATGACAATGCTCGACCCCATGTTGCGAAAGTGGTCAAGACATACTTGGAAACGTTGAAATGGGAAGTCCTACCTCACCGTATTCTCCAGACGTTGCTCCCTCTGACTATCACTTGTTTCGATCAATGGCACACGGCCTGGCTGACCAGCACTTCCGGTCTTATGAAGAAGTAAAAAATTGGATCGATTCGTGGATCGCCTCAAAAGATGACCAGTTTTTTCGACGCGGGATTCGTACGCTGCCCGAAAGTACGCTGGGAGAAAGTAGTGGCTAGTGATGGACAATACTTTGAATCATAAATGTATAACTAGTTTTTTATAATAAAGTCTCGAATTTCGAAAAAAAAACGGCGGAAGCAAAGTTGTACATCTAATAGTTCGAAATGTCGCTTTTGTTTCACAACATCATTTTCACAGTTTGCATGGATAGATCATATCCATGGAGGATAGAGACTAAGGAGATCGAAATGGTCATATCAATTTTACATTAAGAATGCTTCATGCAGTTTTAATGACAATTTATATGAATTTATTAGTCTTCCTGTTATTGTCAGAGCATGATATCAAAGAATAACATCTCTATTCTTAGATTATATGTGTTTGGTTGTGTGTGCGTAAGTGATATGAGAGTAATTTTGCGATTCGGACACCGACCGAGCACCACCCATACTAATTCAGAAACCTGATCACATTTTTCAAATCCTAGTTTGGTCTCCTTAGTTTCTATCCTCCATGGTTGGGTTTATTCAGAGCGACCCTGAGCAGCTCCCGAGAGATAAAACGAACAATGCTGATATCTACACACACAAGTGCACTACAGGTGTACAATTCTCCTCTTCTATATCTCTGCATCTCAGACACTCTTCCCTCCTGAATAATCATTTTCTCGATACTCTACCTTCTTCGTCTTATTCTTTTACTCACCTTCTTTCCTCCTCTCTTCACGTTTCCTCGACCTTCAATTTTGCTCCAATCACTCCCAGTGATTGATCTCCCATGATCTCTACAATATTTTTAAGCGCATTCGCTTGACTTCCACTTCTTTCTGGGCTTCTCGATCTCTTCGATCGCTCCTACTGTGCCTTCCTCAATGTCTCTTGATCCCCTTCTCTATGTGTTAAATTTCTCTTTTCTCACAGTACCTTTCCCTTCTCCTGGAAACACTCAATTATTCCTCCCATTCCTAAAACTAATAACCCTTCTTCTCTTCATCTTTTCGTCCTATCTTGCTCCCCCTTTCCTCTCAGAGCTGCTTGAGTGTGATCTGCTTCTCACAACTTAAAATGCCTTTGTCTCCAATTTAATATCCTTCTCTCCTGTCAGTCTGGTTTTCGTCGATCTTACAGCACGACGAAGGAATTGCTTCATATCTTTGACATTGTGCTTCGTAATTTCGACAATTGTTGCCTTACTTCCATCGTTGCGCTGGATTTCACAAAGGCTTTCGATACCGTCAATCATGACCTACTTTTAGTCAAACTCAAGTTATGCAATCTTTCTCATCCTGCTCTCTCGTTAATCTGCTCGTTCCTTACAAACCGCACGCAACAAGTTCTCGTATATTATCCTTTTCCTCTTTTCTTCTCTACTCGTGCCATTCTCTCTAGTATTCCCCAGGATTCCATTCTCGGACTTTTACTCTTTAATATTTTTGTCTCTGATTTGTCTAATGTTTCTCTGTGCTCTGAGCTCTTCATGTATGCAAATGACATAATTCTTCTCAAATCCTTTCATCCATTCGATGCTTTAGCAACCTGTTCTGCTTTGAATACAGACTTAAAATCTATTGCCGAATAGTCCACTATATGCCCTGCATCTAAATCCTTCTAAATCATCCTTGTTGATTGTCGGTTCCTCAACATTGTTATCCCATATTCCGTCCTTCGACATTTTTCTTAATTCTACTTCAATTCCTCGTTCCTCCCTTATTAAGATTCTTGATGTTCATGTTGACTCTTCATAGTCATTCGAGTCACATGTAGCCGTCAAGTGTCGGGCTGCTTATGCTCATTTATCTTTATCCCCTTTGTCCCATCCTTTCCTGCTCTCAAAAACTCAATTACTTTATTTATCTATTTGTTTATTCGTTGATGTGTCTATGTTCCGTCTCTTAACCAATATCTGCTAAATCGAATACAACGTATTCAAAATTCTTGTCTTCGCTTCGCCTATGTTCGCCTTGTGTTCGTAAATACGACCATATATTTCCAGAGATCTGGCTGGCTTAAGATTTGACAACGTTTTATTCTCTATCTGTGCTGTCTTGTATTTTCTCTCCTTCGCTCCAATACTCCTTTATATCTGTGACGTCTCCTTTAGTTGAACTCTGAACATCATTTCTTTTTTAACTCTCTTGTCACCAGATACCAAAATTACTTATCCTTCTCCATATATCGGTCCACTAAGTTCCGTGCCGCTTTCTCCTACACCTCTGTTAAATATTTTAATTCCTTTCCTGATTCAATAAAAACCTCTCCCTCTCTATCCTCTTTTCATTCCACTCGCGTTTCATCGCATCACTCACAGTATTTAAACAAGACTGATGTAATTGGTGTGTTGATGTAATTGGAATGTACATGCGCGCACGCGCGCGTGTGTATGTGTATGTGTATGATTTCAATTATTAGTTTACCTCTTATTGCATTGTTGTCTTATTCTAGTTTTGTTACTTTGTAACAGCAATTTTGCTGACGTTTAACCATTCACAAACTACTATTGTCTATTGTATTTATGTTTATGTTAACTATAGTCTATTGTATCATACTTTCTGTCTATTACTCTGTTAATATGTAGTCTTTTTCATATAACTTTGCAATAAACTAAATTAAATTAAATTAAATTAAATCTGCCTCTCGCTTAGGATGCCGTTCATGATGGAAGTATTAAAAGTGTGCTCGTTTTTGAGACGAATTTCGTACCGTTCTGCACATCTAGAGATGCGGCCATTTGCATCGCGTAACTTTGAAGTAACACGTAAAGTGACATTTCGCGGAAATAAGTACGTATCAAGTAAAAATGTATACAAATAGTTTTATAAAAAAGGATGCAGAAATTTGCATTTCTTTCGATTAATTATTTATATTTTATTTATGTATTATCGTATTTATATATTTATTTATGTATTTATATTTTATTTATGTGTTTATTTATATGAATTATAAATTATATAAGTTATATGAATTATTAATTATATGTGAAAATTATGAATTATATGAATTATTATAAATTATGAATTATTTATATTTATATTTTATTTATGTGTTGTGTATATATGCAAGTTATTATTTTTACAATATAAATTATAAATTATTCATATTTATATATTAATTATTATAAATTATATTAATTGAATTATTTTTATTATTGCACACACAAGATAAAATCAAATTCTTTAAATTATAAATACATAAAATAATACTAACCTAACGCCAACTACGAATAACGGCAATATGGCGGGTTCTCTTTTTATGTTTAAAATGCGCAAGAGCACATCTTTGGTGTTGTTCCATTAAGCACAGACCGGAATGACGGATCGGATTTCTGATTAGAATTGAGCATTCCATTCCAGTTCCGTTCTGTAACAGTTTTTTCTACCCATCCCATTCGGTAAAAACGGAACGGAATGTCGCGTCGATCGTAAGTAAATGTATTTGATTCATCGTCCATATATCGTTATTTTGGGTAGTTGAAGCAATAATAAATATAATTTGTGCAATTAACTTGCTGATAACGTTATTGTGATTTCTCTAAAATACTGAATTATAACGGTGAAATATATTTTCTAACCAGAATTCTGTTCCGTTTTTACTGAATGAGCCATCCCATATATACGGAATCGGAATGACGGATTTCTTACTAGAAATCAATTCTAGCATTCCGTTCCATAAGAAGTTTCTCTACTGTATCGGAACCACCGGAATCATGGCCAGAACGGTATAGAGACGATATGGAATCAACGGAATGTCGTGTCGATTGTAGGCTATGTCGATTCGGCTATTGTTGATGGTTGAGAATTTGAAGAAAAAAATTAATAATAATTCTTATTTTTTAATACGACATATTCTTGTTTTATACAATATATACATAGTTCAACTGTATGCCAGCTGTTAGAGGTTTTAGTTTATTTTGTATTACGCGCGCAGTTATGATTCGCGTTAGCGAGAGCGCGCATTTCCCTCCGACTAATCGATTTTGTATCGATTGTCATACATGACTCACACAGGTTAGATTGGCGATTCACTACGCACGGATTAGACGTCCATATTTGGTTATATTATACACGTCTAAAGATATTAAATATATATCCAAGTTTTCTTCCTTGATATAAGAGGACTGTGCATAAAATTCTGCCCTTGATTATTCATTCCTTCACAATGCATACACGAGATTCACAACACCAGCAATTTTTTAAATAATTCCGATATTATTCTGAAGTAATTGAAGAATTTCTCACGATTGGTCGTTTGTATTTCAAAGACTAAATTGTCACTTGCGCCGCCTCATATTCTTTGTGTAAATATTGACTGTATCCAGAATTTTCATTTTCTTCTACATTTCTGCTGTTGCAATAAAACGTTATAAGCGAAATAAAATTTTTTTTTTGCACACTCTTAAATATTGAAATAACACGCCAACTTGGCACATTTTTTGCCTTTCGCAATAATTTTAACATTAGTAATAATACTATTTCTTCATCCAGCGTTATAGATTTACAAAAAAAGTTTCTAAATATTTGTTTTAATTTTTAATTTTTGTTTTAATTTTTAATTCAACTAACTCAGCTGAACGTGCCATTCCGTTCCGTAAAAATTTTCTCTATCCGTCTCATATAGCTGGAACGCAATAGAATTTTGGTAATAAAATATATCTCACTCTTATAATTCAGTATTTTTGAGTATTCAAAGTAATATAGGTAAAATAAATGCTCAAATTATGCATATTACTGCCTTAGTCGCATTAAAATAACAAAATATCGATTAAATTAAGCAAATTAGCTTGATCAAGGCGACATTCGATCTGTTTCTATTCCGTTCCGATTACATCGGACGGAAGAGAAATTTCTTACGGAACGGAATTGTAGTGAACACAATTTTCTAAGTAAGAAATCCGTTCCGTTGTCCCGATTCCATGTACAGGGGACGGCATCCTTACGCCACTGAATTATATATACACTGAAATGGGCATCAATGAGGAAAATTCGTGGCCACAATTGATCAGTCGTCATTTTAGTTTTAGGGACGATATTTGAACGAATCAGAAGCGTTCGTGCGCATGCTGCGATCGATGTATCGGCACAGTATAAGTCTGGACACTGAACTTTTTATGTGATCCCCAATTTTTAGGGTGCATGCGTCGATTTCCAATCAGGAATGTGATTGCTTTCAGCAAGTTGAAATTGCAGGTTAGATTAACTGGTTAGAGAATTGGATCTCCTTCCCAAAATATAACTCTTTCGCCTACAATATTGTGTGAGACTCGTAGTACGGAAATCGAGTCAAACATGAGTATCACGGGTGAGAGCCATGATACATCATTCGTACAAAGCTTAATTTTTTTTTAATTTGTAAGAAAAAAGTATGGCAAAGAGTTAATAAAATTAAGTTTTATTAAAAAATTAAATCAAATTTTTTCGGAGATGCTATATTGTGTAGATTGTTATATTTGTACACAATAAAATATTCTCGTAATAAAATATGCATTTGTGTGTGTGTGTGTGTGTGTGTGTGTGTGTGTACATATATTATTAAATTATAACTTCACATTTAATTTCAATTTTCATATAATATTTAATCAATTATTATTTTTAATTTACTTATTATTGTTTAATATTATTATTATCATTAATGTGAATATTTTTTTTATATAATGAGTTCGTTAACATTACATATAATAAACATTATTATATAATTCTGATTTAAAAATATACTTGCTATAAACACTTTCCATAACACGACCGAATTATAAAATAACATTAATAATATTTTTCGATTCATGACGCAAAACAGGTCAATATTCATAATCGATTCTTACATTTAAAACTGTCTTAAGTCAATCTTAAGATGCTGTAAGTCAATCTGATTGTATTAACATCTTATCAGAGTTCTTTATTTCCTGGAAAGAAAGGAAACGAAGGATTTCGATTGGTACATTTTCTTTTAATTCAACTAACTCAGCTGAACGTGCCATTCCGTTCCGTAAAAATTTTCTCTATCCGTCCTATATAGCTGGAACGCAATAGAATTTTGGTAATAAAATATATCTCACTCTTATATTTTCTTATGCATTACGCGTTATGCATTATGCAAGAGTCTGTGCTCTCCGTTTTATTGTCAAAGCACGATGTCAAAGAATAACGTCTCTATTCTTAGGTTATGTGTGTTCGGTTATGTGTGTGTATATAAGAGGAGTTTTGCGATTCAAACGCCGTTTACATTACCAATACCAATTCAGAAACCTGATTTTGACCACCACAAAGCCTAGTTCAGCCTCCTATTCTCTATACTCCATGACTATAGGAAAGAAGTCCGAGATCCTCTCTGTCGTACAGCAAATTGACACGCTTGAAAAATTCGTCGTACACAAAAAAACAGACGCATGTAATATTGGCCTAAATCTCCACCGTCTCTGTCTATGAAGCCTTAAGGTACAACTTCATGGTGTCACTTGTTACTGCGGTACGTGATCACGTGACTGAATTCTCCCTCAATTTGCTCACTTTCTTACCACCAGCGACACTGGCCTAGTTTCCACTGAGAGTTTAATCAGAATCAGAATGTATGAACCAACCAACTACAATCGAGTATTTCCCTGTCGTTTGACTATGGAAACTAGGCCACTGTTGAAAAGTTGGATTAATCCAATTTTTAGCGACATCGCTCTTATGCAAATATTTAAATGTAGGACAATAAGGTAAGTATAATAATAATAATATTTACTTAAGTTATATTCCAAAACATCCTTTCCAAGGAAAATTTTATTCAAAATATTGGGTCATCTAAAAAGTATCCGCGATTTTTTGTCACTAGATGTGCATTGATGGTCATATATCTAGTGACAAAGTACCGCGGATACTTTTTAGATGACCCAATATATAGGACATGTAACGTATACTACAGTATTTCGAGTAAAATTTTCCTCGGAGAGAATGTAGCTTTAGAATATGGATGTCGTCGCAAAACTTGATAAAAATATACTTTAGTATGTTTCCATTCAAAATGAGAGAAATAATGTAGTAAAAAATGAAATAGTTTGCCTTAAACAATTCAGATTAGGAAAACGTCACTCGAATGGCCCCGTATAGTATGTTATTATCCAGTGTTAAATACAAGGATAAAGTGATACATTGGAGCACTCGGATAATGTTTTCGAACGTAGTCCAATTCTACATTTAATAATTTGTTTCATAAAGCATATCACCACGTTTTTCTGCCAGATTCTTTTATTTTGAGTGAAAACGTGTTAAATGAGTATAATTTTTTATCAAATTTTTATCAAATTTCGTGGTGATGTCCGTATTCTAAATAATTATCATAATAAGTAAATGAATAAAAAATTCTTACCAATAAAAAATTTGTTGCGTGCAATTTTTTCTCATTTAACTCTGATTAATTTTATTTTTATTTCCCATTTTATTTATACAGACTTTTCTTTATGATTGCTCAATACATTATACCAATTTAATTATTGTATTATTAAATTATTATTATTATTTATTATTATTATTTAATTATTGTATTATTTGTTATTATTTGTTACAATTTCATGAAATTTTCAGATGGCTGTTGTACATAATTGTGACATATGTGAAATGATTAAAGACGAAAAGAGTATTTCGACTCATGGATGTATAGAAGCATATAACTGGTTATTCGTTGATAATTTTTTAATAATAATTTTTTTTAAATCCATGTTTACGTCGTCTTTCAAATTAAATAAAGGAACTCAAAATTCAACTCAAAATCTCTTTTCTAATATTTTCTTTTAAAAATTGTACATTCATCAATGCATACAGATGTTATCTATTTTGCCATAATTTCGCGTTATTTTTGTTTTGCGCAATCGCATCAACTTGACAGGTCCAAGGTCGTAATACCGTTACTATAACATTTTGGATATAACATTTTGGACTTTATAGTACTTTATACTGTACAATTAATATAATTATCGTCAAAAATTTGTCGCTGCTAACTCATTTATATGAGCGACATTCGAGATATTAGCAACATGAAATCTGTGACTTGTTTGTCGCTGAATATGAACGACGAGCAGCATAAATATTTACCTTTAGAGAGAGATGCTTGCAAACTGAGCGACTGAGCACATTATGGAGCTCCACACAATTAAAAGAATCGAAACAGAGAACAGAGAATAAAGGGCTCCGCACAAGAAAAGGAATAGAGAACAGAGAATAGAGAATAAGAATTTCAACCTATCAGAAACTGTGTATTCCATAATACATGATTTCTGATAGGTTGAAATTCTTATTTTCTGTTCTCTGTTCCTTTTATTGTGTGGAGCCTCTATGTTATCTATTCCATCATGCTATTCATCTTTCTATCAGGATTGCCAGATTAGGCGACATGTTGCCTTTTAGGCGATTTGAAATAAGAATTTGCGACAAAAAATGGCCGAGAACGACATGTCGCAAATTAGGCGATTTTCTTTTTCCCTCCGGTGACTTTTAAGAGACGCCGTGACAGCAGCGCCGAGACCCCCTTTACAATATATCGTCCAATAAGATTTTTACATTTAGAAGGTCTATCAATTTCAAGGGCCTTCTTGTAACAATATCAATTGTAAATTTAATTTCAAACATGCAAATTGGTGAATGCTCTGAAATTAACTCTCAAAATCTAAAATTAACTCTTTAACGACACACCATGATCAATATTTTGATTGTAAATGTTAAGAAAACGGATGTATTACGGGAGGCTCTCTATCGCGTCCTAAATCCGATTATGGTTGCCGATTGTCAGTTCTATTTTCGCCAATCACGTTACAGCTAATCTGCACTTGTTGCATCATTATTGCTCAAATAAAACCGTAACAATCGTAATCAACCATTTGTGGTGTGATTACGGCTTAAACTATTTAACAATGCCGACGAAGGTTTAAAATATAAATGAATAAATAATAAAAGTTGTAATATGGACTTATAGATTGGCTAGAAGAGAACAAAGACACGTTTGCCACAATCAATAATAAAGAGACTTGATGTAAAGTATGTGAAATAAATTTACGCGCACAACATGCAGATTTTAAAATATGCTAACCGAACTCTTCAACGAAAATGAATAATCTAAATGTACGTGTTCAGCCTAAATTAAAATATGGTAAGTATTTTTTATTTTGTATAATATAAATATTGTACTTATTTACAAATATTCTCTCAATTGAGAATAATAAAATTGTAATTTGTAAAGTTATTTCATTAATAAATTTATTTTTAAATTCTCTACTTTTTCGGCTATTATCTCCTAATATTGGGTCATCTAAAAAGTATCCGCGGTACTTTGTCACTAGATATATGACCATCAACACACATCTAGTGACAAAAAACCGCGGATACTTTTTAGATGACCCATATACTGTACAGTAAATATCAAAATGATCAATTGTTTCAAACGCAACTGCAGCCACTAGAAGCGAAAACTATAGATATCAAACTTTTCATATTGCTATACAAGGCGTAAGTACACACATTTCCTTTTTGAAAAACTACATAAACTTTAGCAGTATTTGCGTTCTCATATATTGTGTCATCTAAAAAGTATACACGGTTTTTAGATGACCAATAAATATACTTACACACACTTTTAAATATAGGCCGGTAATGTATAATATTCAATATTCATCAGAAATACAGAAATACAGAAATTTATGGTGCAGAGTTTTTCTCTCTCTCTCTCTCTATTTTTTTCTTTTTTTTTGGAAAGCGCGTTTCAATTGGGTGATTTTGGGCGACACGAGAGCCATTCATCGGCGACCACGCTTGTCAAGTATCTGGCAACCCTGCTTTCTACCCTTACCACTGTCATCGGTAGAGTCGCATAGATGCACACGAGCGGGTCGGACATGCGCCTCGTTCCGCTTCGAATGTTACATCATCTCAATTATATTTTTGAAAACCGTGGTCAGTTTCCACTGTGCAATTGTATCACATTATCATTAATCCCTTTATTCGTCTGGGCGCGCGTCCGAGCGACATCGTAGCGTCGTGATCGCAAGCGCCCAATGTCTGAGAGACTGTTTCCCATTTTCATTTTGATCGCATCATCTCTTTTTGCTACACCTGCCCGGTTCGAGGTGGCATTGCATTCCAATTTTTATATTTATTTTATCATATCTTGAAGCGTATTGAAGACACGTTAATTCGGCTGCATCGGAATCTTGCACTCAAATATAGAAGAACTGTTATTGGTAGTCCATTCATGTCGATGACTGACTTGACGCATTCAGATACAGCCATATATGTGCGCTGAATGACGGAAACAGAGAGAAAATGGTAAACAACATCATATATATTTCATATTTCTTTAATTTCGTAAATATTATAAAAGTCGTAGAAAAATAATATATTACGCAAGCATTGACATATTATTTGCTGATTGATAGATTTTGTCGAGGGCCAAACCAGCCTCGTCAGAAGGCGTTCAAACGTTAGTCTCGCGCAAGGAGATACCGAAGCTAGAGGAGTTTTTAGAAAAACGAGACTACACGGGTGCCTTGACATTATTGGAATTTAATAGTACCACCAGCAGCAATTTGGAAATGGACTTGTGGATGGGATATTGTGCATTTCACTTAGGCGATTACAAACGTGCAGCAACGATTTATGAAAACTTAAGGAACAAGGATTATGTACCTCCGGGTATTCTAACAAATCTAGCGTGCTGCTACTTCTATTTAGGCATGTATTCTGAGTCACAAAAGATCCTGGAAGAAGCAGAAAATAGTAAACTGCGAACCAGATTACTGTTTCACCTGGCCCACAAGATGGGCAATGAATCCAAGTTAATGAAATATCATCAAATGCTGCAAGATATTATCGAGGATCAGCTCAGTTTAGCGTCTATTCACTACTTGCAAGCTCACTATCAAGAAGCTATCGATGTCTATAAAAAAATTTTATTGGATAACAGGTTGGAATATCTCTTTCGTATCTCTTTGATACAACAGAATCTTTAGGATATTTTTGTATAATTTTTGGCTGTGACATTTTTATCTTGCACCTTTTTGCATATTCACACAAGTTTAGAGAAAAGCACCAAGAGATGCGACTCTAGAGTAGATTCTGAGTTGTATTTCCTTATGCAACTGCAAAACAATTCCAGGTATCTCTTCTCTATTTCTTTTCTTCCTCAAGTTATTCCTATGTCACCAATTCGTCATCACACAATCAAATGATTTAATGCATCAAATAATTTTTCATTTAAATTAAGTAGATTTTATAATTTGTTTTCAGAGATTATCTAGCTTTAAATGTATATGTGGCTTTGTGCTATTACAAGCTAGATTACTATGATGTAGCTCAAGAAGTGCTTCAAGTTTACCTACAGAAATATCCAGATAGTACGATCGCGATTAATTTGAAAGCGTGTAATCATTTTCGTTTGTATGATGGAAATGCTGCACAGATCGAGATGAAGCAACTAGTTGAAAAAATATCAAGTTCTTTCAGTTCTAGCCATGATCTTATTCGACATAATACAGTTGTATGTGTAACTTCTTGTAGGGTAACTCCAGTATTTATGCTGCGTGGCGTTTTGTCAGAAGTCAGAAAAAAATAGGAATGGATAAATAATTTTAGACTGATTAGTATTGTTATAATTTCTTTTGTTTTTTCTATTGTTATTGTTAATATTAATAAAATTACTGTTGAAACGATTTGTCAATGTAGCACAATCATGCAAATAATCTATATAAAATAATTGTTATAGGGATTGCAAAAGGCTTTTTCTTTTTTTTCGGAGTAAATGGCGCTCGTCGATGAGTTAACGACAGTTAAGATTCCAGCCATAGTCGAATTGTAAAAGGCTTAATAGTATTTGATAATACATCAGTATAGAGGGATAGTAAGGAATGAAGTATAGTAAAATATAAGTATTTATCTTTTATATTTTTTGTTCAGTTTGATGTCTTGTATATCACATCTGTTTAGGGAGGATATATGACATTTTTAATGAACGGGATTTGTCAAGCGTATAAAGTTCGCAGATTGGATTTGGTACAATAAATGTATTACATGAATTTCATCATAACATTTGTAATAAAAAAAAATTATAATTATCTGTTCATGTATATTAGACTGCTAAGAAAAAAAAAATTTTTTTTTAATCGGCCACTTAGCTCAAAAGCTTCCATTTCAAGTCAAAAGAATATCTCTAAATTTTTATTAAAAAATATTTAGATTTAGAGATCGCTAATGAACGATTTTTAAATCATTTCGATTTTTTTAAATACACGTTTGATTTGATACAAAAATAGCTTAAACTGGATTTTAAAAATGTACTGTATGTTTTTGTGGTCGCTGAACACGATGCAATAATTCATTTAACTCTATGATATACGCCTTAAGAAATACAGTTTGATTAATGTGAAAAAATGACCAAATTTCGAAAGTTCAAGGTCGATTTTAGCAAGATTTTAAGTGTTCAAATGGGTCGTTACTCCTCTTAAATTATAAGTTGTTCACCCAGAAACAAGATCCAGTTGAAATTTTCCCGGGACCTCTTATAGAGCCTTTAAAAGTTGCATTTAACTGAATTATAAAATTTTTAAGGATAGAACAATTTTTTTACAAATTTTAAAGTATATTGTTTTATAATTTTGACATCCTCAAATCAAATGCTTCAATTTGGCAATAAAAAACTCTTTATTAGGAAATGAGATATGTAGTTCATTTCAATTTATTAAATCATGTTTTTTTGTATTATGTACTTATTTCATTTTCTAATAAAGAGTTTTTTATCGTTAAATTCAAGCATTTGATTTGAGGATGTCAAAACCACAAAGCAATTTATTTTAGAATTTTTTTATGGATAGAAAAAAAAATTTTCTATCTTAAAAATGTCTTATAATCCAGTTAAATGCAAATTTTAAAGGCCCTGTAGGAGGTACCGGGAAAATTCCAACTGGATCTTGTTGTCTGGGTGAACAGACTTACAATTTGAGGGGAGTAATGATCTATTTGAACGCTTGGGATATTACTAAAATCGATTTTGAGCTTGAAATTTGGTCATTTGGTTTTTTTAACATTAATCGGGCTATATTTTTTAAAGCATATATCGTAGGACACAAATCAATTATTGCATCGTGTTCAGTGATAAAAAAAACACTATATTTACATTGTACCATATTTGAAATCCAAATTAAGTCATTTTTACATCAAATCAAATATACATTAAGAAAAATCGAAACTGCTTTAAAAATCATTCACTAGCGACTTCTAAATCTTAATATTTTTTGATAAAAATTTAGAGTGTCCTTTTGACATGAAATGGAAGCTTTTAAGGCCGATTAAAACAAAATTTTTTTTCTTGGCAGTCTAATGTATATGTATACATTATTCTTATTTTTAAATAAAATTTTGTATATTTTATAAATTATTGTGCCATTTTACATCTTATTTCTAAGTATTATTCATAAATTTTATTTATGCTAAAGCAATGCCTAAGCTCATCTATGAGTAACCATATTCCATTTGTGAGATGTACGACAAAAATGTAAGAATTTCAGTATTTTTTACACAAAAAAATAAGTATTTGGATTTCTAATTTTTTTTCATAATAGACAATACGAAGTTTTTACTGTGTCTCAATTCTGTAACTCTTAACGACAATTTTGTATCATTATGTTGTTGCGCAGCAGCTTTTTTACCATGTATAATATCTGCACAACGACAATATAACGATCAATATTATCGTTAAAAGTTATAAAATTGGGGTACTGATATAGTTTATTTATCTTAAAGTAAATATATAACACTCCATAATAAATAATACTTGGTAGATTAAATTTTTATTAGGTACGGCATATATATTGGAGTTACTTTAATATGTTTTAATATGTTTTCCTACTTTTAATCTCTTTTTACGTAGGTCTTTAGAGGTGGTGAAAACGCTTTGCAAATTTTACCTAATTTGGTAGACGTTATACCAGAAGCCAGGCTTAATTTAGTAATATATTATTTGAAACAAGATGACATTAAGGCAGCTTATGATCTGATCAAAGATCTAGAACCAGCAGTTCCACAAGAATATATTTTAAAGGGTATAGTTAACGCTGTTACGGGTCAGGAAACTAATTCTGTATGTCATTAAACTACTTATCTTTTAGCATTATTGAAAAATTTCTGAATTACTACTAAATTTCTTTAGCGCGACAGTATAAAAACTGCACAGCAATACTTTCAACTAGTGGGTTCTTCAGCATCGGAATGTGATACCATACCTGGAAGACAATGCATGGCCTCTTTCTTCTTTCTTTACCGACAATTCGAGCGCGTCAGATTATATCTGAATTCAATAAAGACGTATTTCTCTAATCAAGATAATTTTAACTTTAACTACGCTCAAGCACAAGCTGGAGCGGGCTACTTCAAAGAAGCGGAAGAAGCTTTTCTGATGATACGTAATGAAAAATATAAAAATGATTACATTTACATCAGTCTTTTATCATATTGTTGTAAGTAATAGCAATATATCTTTGCTCATAGAGTGCACAGAGAAAAAACAAAAACACTTTTATTATATTATATAATTAAAAGCTATCGATTGAAATCACTCAAAACTTAATCAATAAAATTATTATCGAGAGTCAATAAACTCTAGTGGTTATAATTCATTGACTCATGTACATATATGTAGATACACTGATATGCGGTCTAGTTTCAAGAATTGACCAGTCTAATTGATTAACATCCGAAACATTAACATACTTCCTAATATTTTGTTATAACTTTTGTCAAATAATTATAGTAATATGATTTACAATTGTTTGCTTTTTTTACTTTTAGATATAATGAATGAAAAGGCCGAATTGGCTTGGGAATTGTATTTGAAGATGGACACATCAGCGGAGTCTTTCAATTTGCTTCAATTAATTGCTAACACATGTTACAAAGTAGGCGAATTCTGGTATGCTGCTAAATCCTTCGATATGTTGGAGCGAATGGATCCGAGTCCTGAACATTGGGAAGGAAAGCGTGGCGCATGCTGTGGTACTTTTCAGTATATTATTGCGGAGAAATTACCAAAGTATGTTTTATATATCGTATATTTGTATAAAATCACTATATCGGGGATTAATTTGTCAATTTTTTTTTTCGTTACACAGAGAACTGCTATCGGAAGTGATACAGATTCTGAAAAATACATCCAATTCTCAAGTGGAACAGATAATACGCGTTATGCGGAAATGGGGAAAAGAAAACAGAGTGAACTGCTAATATCATTGAATTTTGTGACATTGTTAATATCATCAATTCCGTCCAATAAACGTTTTCTGTATTTTATAAAATAGTAGCACTAGAAGTAATGAACTTGACCTTGACATATGTTGTCAAGGCTTGACAACATATGTCAAGGTCATTGAAGCTTGGTCCCCTAATCGATACTTTTACTGTACTATATGTAACTAGTGATGGGTATTCAATCATATCTCTTGCGAATTTTTAATCAATTTAGTTATTGCTCTGCTTCGAAAGATTTCGAATATTACTTTAAATACGAAGCGCCACTACGGTCTGAATGTTGAGATGTTGAATATATATAACTAATATATATAAATGAATTAATTTCAGAAATAATAATTGCGTGCCGATATGGTGGACTTTCAACGCAACCAATCTGAAATATTAATAATCCCCCCAAATTTTCCAAATTAATCTTAAAAAACTGTAATAAACTTATTGCGAAAAATATTGCCTCGGCCGGGAGTCGAACCCGAATCTCTTGCATTCCGTGTATCAAGAAGTCACGTTATCAATAGAAGTATATCAATAGAAGAACTATTCTTGCTATTCAAGTTTATGAAGGAGAAGTATACTATATAACACGCATAAAAAATCGTAAACAATTAAATAGTTCGTAAACTGTTGTTTTTAACATGATTTATACTATTCTGGATTAAGGGGAAGGGTACACTACTACTACAATTTATTAAAACTTATATATTATTTAGGATGCCCCCCTTATTAATGGCTAAGGCCGCCGAGCGGCCGAGATTGCCGAGAAAGCATTTTCGGTCACTTGAAATAAGCTACTAATGGGAAAAGGAACTCGCTGTCTCGTTCACTTTCGGCGCGCCGCAGGCACACAGATATGGGCTCGTGCTTGTTTGTGGGTTACAATGTCGCACCACGATAAATGGCCAAACTTATACGTGGAAAAGTGACGTTTTGACGACGAAATTTATGCTGCGTTCCATTTCGTTATTATTTGCCTAATTGTGAAAATGTGACTTGTCTCGTTCTTATCAAAGTCGTAATTATCGATGAAAACTAAAGTTATCTTGGAATTTTATATCTAAAAGCGTATATTTTACTCGTTTCAACAGCTGTCGGACCGTGTTTCTGCCCATATATAGACTTATTTTACGTGCCTTTTATAACATTTACTGACTGTCGAGGGAGGAAAGGACAGTTTTTATCGATTTTTACAAGTGTTTTAAAATGTTCTCGTCATTTCGTTCTATTCAAATTGTCTTTATTTAAAAATGGCAACATAAATTAACATGTCATTCCTCGCTTCTGATGTCTCGATTCCAACATGACCGCCGCGACTAGTCAGAGCCTTAAAAAAATCATCGAAAGAAAAACAATTTTTTTAATTTAACATAATTTTTCTTTAGATATGATTTGATTCAATACAGGGCTTATAAATAACAAATCCATTCTCGGATTTATCAATGATCATATGGGATACAATGATCCCATACTCAGGATCGTTTCGGCATTTCGTAAACTATACTACATTGTAGATAAATTTAAATGTATGAGTGTATTAAAATACGCACGCACGCACACGTCACTCTCTCGAGATCTTGACCAATAAGGCAAGAGTCCTACCAGACACCGTAATTGTTATAAGCAAAATAAAAAAAGTTACAGCACATCATTTATATTTTTTTAAAGCGATTCTGGCTACAAATAAGCATTATAAATAATTAAAATTATTTTCGGTTGCGAATAATTTACTGATGTCGGAGAACATTTTGGTTACGAATAACCATTACTGATGATGGAAATTATTTTTGGCTACGAATAACCATTATAAATAATTAAAACTATTTTTGGTTGCGAATAACTATTACTGATGTTCGAAATTGTTTGGATTACGAATAATCGTTATCGACGACCAGAATTTTATTTTGATTACCCAAGGTATCTAAACTGTATATAAATTTTATTGGTTACCGGCAAACAATATCGAATACGAATATATTTTGGAGATTTAAACTTTTTTTTACGTTTTGATATATAGCATCTTTGATGTTAATATTTTGTAGTAATTCATTTCTTTACGTATGAGAGCGAGTGTGACAAAGTAGACAGGACACTGGTCTGCTATGCTAGGGATTCCCGGTAAAATCAAAATTTTCATACACTCGTTCTCCTCTCGGAAGAAAGCGGCAACCCACCGAGAGTATGCCAAGAACACTTCTCTAAACAAAAACTTCGTCATTCGGAATCGACATTAAACTGTCTCATCATGTAAATACAAGGATATGCTCATTCGGACGAGTTTAGAAAGCTTCTGCGCAGCAGCGTGCTACGTCACATGCAATCTCGGTAAACATGTGTTCGGAGCACTTCGGCCCGGTTAAAATATAGCTGCAAGAGGCCTGGAGCCACTTGGTATTGCGTTGTGACTGTATGCTCATAACTATATGCGAATTGTGAAAATTCTGTGTGTTCTCTGGCAAAAAGTTAATTATTTGTTATTATTTTAACGGCTCAAATTTATACTTATCATTCTCGTAGAATCCTTTCGCTTATCATTTGGCGCGTTTCGAATTACATATGAAGCGCGTGAGGTATCATTTTATTCTTTTTTATTCTTTAGTTCGTAAGAATAAATGATGCATCATGCACTTTGTGCGTAATTCGGAACGCAGTCCTTAATGCATTGACGCTACCATGGTTTACTTCATTTTTAACTGTTTGAATTTGCCGCGTAATGATGACGTAGTCAGGCTGCAATTCTTATTGGTTATCTGGCGTTACCATGCACAAGAGCATATCCTTGTATTTATACCATGGATTCCATATGAACTGTAGTTTTCCTGCTTTGTGGGTTCAAAGTACTGACAAGAATATAACTTCAGATAAAATACAAGATTTTAATCGAATTGAGGTCTCTGCTTCGAGGAGGCTATTCATTGCATCTAATAATCCGTTATTTCTGCATAGTACTGTGACTCTATATTTGAGTCGCAAAAACCAAAAAAGGGAAATCAGAAGAAGAAGAACTATGTACGACTAGCGTGCGCAACACGTGCATATGAGAGAAATAACTACGCTCGAACACCAGGACGAACAACAGGATTGAAAAGAGAATTCATTCTTTATCCAATATATAATATGTACATCTTCCCAATCAAATTTATGAAATTTATCAAAATGTAATCTATGGTCTGTGATAATGGAATAAATAGACGTTCTTCTCATAATGATTCCGGAAATACGAGTTTTTGGTCGGTATATTCAAGACCGTCTTAAGTTCCGTTTTGAGGTGTTACGAACCAATCAGAGGGCCGCAAGCGAGACTTAAAATAAGAACTGACTATGAATACCGGCTTTTAATTGTCGACTGGTTTGTCATGTAAAACTATAATCACACTACGGGCTCCCGACTCTGACTCTCGAGTCCCGATTTAAAGTCGATCGAATAGAGTGATTCTGTTCTCGAGTCGGTAGTGCTCAGAGTCAGCTACTGCCTTGCTGTAGAATAATAGTCGGGAGTCCGAGTCAGTAATCGGGTCAGAGGTTCCGCACAATCTTCATTACGACAAAAGGAACAGAGAACAGAGAATAAAAATTTCAACCTCTCAGAAATTATATGGTTCTTTTTATTGTACGGAGCCTCTCAGAATCGGAAGCCTGTAGTGTGATTACGGCTTAAAGGCCGTATCAGACTCTGGTTGTGTTACAAAATTATTTGTCAGCGCTGGCAGCACTGTCAACACTGTTCCAAAAATCATCATAGCATGCTGACAGTGCTGCAAAAGAGTAATGCATGGTCTACAATGGGCAATAGCAGTAGAGGATTAAGGAGTAGGCGTAGAAATCCACCAATCATAGTTGAATGTGAGAAAAATAATTAACTATGATTGGTCGATTTCTACGCCTACTCCTTAATCAACTATTGTTGCTGCCCATTGTAGACCATGCATAAAGACGTCACTAATTTTAACGTCATTTCTTGCTCCGGCTGAAGAGATGAGGCAGCTACAGCATCCAAGATGGCGAGTATCGTTCCAATTTGAAATGTGTATTCGCACCAATTGCATACTTAAATTGGAACGCCGTTGATAGCATGTTTTTACGACAACATACTTGCGCTCAATTTTGGAACATAGCCTCTGTAGATGTTACGAGCGAAACGCACCGTAATATTTAAAGTATTAAAAAGGACAACTGTCTTTTGACCGAACTTTATTCAATAATGATACAGGCAAGCTAAGTCGGAGATGTATTATTCGCAGCTTACGAGAACAGATTGACTCGATCAGAGAATTAAAGGGATCTTCACTACGATAAAAGAGGTGGAGATTCCGATAAATTTTAACTAATAACGTGACATTTTTGAATACCAAAAATATGCGTAATGGGGAAACTGAAATATGAAAGAAACTGAAATATATGACTGTCGATGACTCACGAATCCGTTTAGGGATGAGTCATAAGATATCTGTAAGACTGAATATTTGAAATGGGTCTTAAGTTTTTCAGGCACGCAATTCGAGGGATGTAGCAATCATTACAGAAAGGGTGATTTCCTACGTTTTTTAAGCCGTTGAATTTGAATCCGGGGTCGAATTACAAAAAAAGTCAAATTCAAGATGGCGGATTCAAGATGGCATATCAAAAAATTAATAATTTTTAAATTTATTCCCAAACTAAACTTAATCCCATAAACTTATTCCCATATCCAATACATTAACAACAATAATATAAATGTTAAAAATGACTGATTCAATGCAATAGTAATGGACCGATTGCAAAAATAATCACTTTTTTATAGTTTTGGTCGCCATATTAGATCCGCCAATTTGAATTTTAAAAGCCTGATGACGGATTTGAATTCAGCGATCTCAAAAAACATTGGAAACAATGATTTGCAATGCATGTTTATTGTCAAAATCTGCCACGAATGAATTAAATTTGGAAAAACATGCATTTTTTAGTATAAATTTGTTTATAATAAATAAAAATTATTAGATAATCATGAAACATGTTTCTGCTTTTTGAAGTTTGAATCTTATTTTATCTGAAAATGCAAAAAAAATGAGTTTAC